TCAGTAACACTGACTCCATGCCTGTGCTTCACTCGTCCACATGCAGCGCCCGCATCCTCAGCAGCAGCGCAGGTGAGAGGCACACCACAATCAGGTACATTACCAAAACACACAGGGAACTTGGCTTGCTGACAGAAGAAGCTTTCAGTGCACAGATAATAAAAATACATTCAATAAAAATAATATTAAAAAATTACTTACTAATTTTTTACTGATTTTTATATTTTATATTTATTATTAATCATACAAATATAAAATTACAATAAATAATTAACAATCAAAATAAAACACTTACTAAACATGTATTAAATAAAAAAAAGTAATAAAAAAAATATAAATGCATTTTGTAATAAAATATATAATACATATAATATATATAAATACATTTTAAAGTAAATAATTAAAAATGTTTTTGATTCCAGTACACAGAAAGACAGATAATAAAAATAAGAGTAAAAATATAATCTATATTATATCAAATTGTTTATACTGTGTGTGTGTCTGTGTATATACAGTAAATATATATGTATATATATGGTTAGTGTTAGGCTTGATATATAATGTATATATTATTTTATATATGCACATATACACATATATACATTATCAGTCAAAAGTTTGAAATAATGAAAGTCTTTTGCTCACCAAAGGTGCATTTATTTGATCAAAAATACAGTAAAAATTGTGAAATATTATTTCTGTTTTCTATGTGAATATCTGTTAAACTGTAATTTATTCCTGTGATCATGTCACATTATAAATGTCTTTACTGTCACTTTTAATCAATTTAATGCGTCCGTGATGGATAGAAGTGTTAATTTCTTCTGATTAAGCTCTTTGAGTGTCATCTGAAAGCTAGCGGATGTGCTGTGTGTTGTTGATCAGAGCTGCTGGCTGAAAGCGCTCTGTCCATCCAGTCGTCTGAGAAGGTGACGAGCATCTCTCTTCCTGTGACGCCGCCGTATCACACGCTGGAGTTCCTGCTGGAGGTTCTGTGTCATATCCCATCATGCCCTGCGCGGATGGAGAGCGAGCGCCTCACTAACGGACAGATCAGTCGCCGCAGCCGAACGCGCTTCAACAGCGGCATGACCCTCATCGACCAGAAGGTTCGACACGCTCGCAGAACAATAGAACATTAATATTTATCATAATAATAATAATAAAGAAATTCTATCTAGATAAAGGCAAAAATATAAAAATGTTGTGTGTGTTTCAGGTGTCTGTCGACTGTCCCTGGTCCATTTACTCCACGCTGGTCTCTCTGACCTTCCACGTGCCCTTCACAATCAAACACTCGCTGCTGTCTGCAGGACGGAGGTACTGACCCCTCGTGACCGCTCACACTCTTACAGTGATACTGTAGTAACAGATGGTTTGATGTGTTTCCTGTGTGATTTTATCCCAACAGGAAGTTCATCCAGGTTTGTCTTCGGAATGTATCAGACACTAACTTTCGCCTGACCAATCAGACGCTGACTGAGAATCAACACACACCGTCACTGGAGCTGTGCTCTCTCAACACTAGAACACACAGCGTGAGTCTCACTCACACACACACTCACTCACACACACACTCACTCACTCAC